TAGGGGACATGAATGAAAAAATGGGATCCTCGTAGGAGTGGGTTACAACTAGAATAATCATAGTATGCGTAACGCATCCAAGTATCTTCAGTTGAGCACGTAGCGAATATCTAAGAATGAAGGATCATTGCAGAAGATGTGTCGGTAAGCGGTATAATGAAAGAATCAAATTATGTAATAGCAAAATTGTGTACGATATGAATGTTAGCAAATAATGGATGTACAATTTTCCCTCTAATTCGAGGGTGCATTGAGGTAAAGCATGGTAAGAGCGACTAGAATATCGCTACCTATAAATGAACCCGAGTAAAGTATCAGTCTAGCTAGTATCATAACCAGTGAATAACACACACATTAATCATTGAAAAATCATGAAACACGTAGAGTCTCAGCTAGAGGCGGAGAATGACTAAAACAACCTCAAGTAACAAATGATTAGGATATAGCCACTTAATAAACCAAAAGTATTAACAGACTAATAAACCTTTGCATAACGTTCTAGATGAGAGAACGAGAGAGACAACAACTAGTGTAGGGTTGACCTTACTTTAGTGTGTCAAGCTATACTAGGATGTAGTTAGACTACCTTAGTTGCCCTAGAGGGAGATTACCAATGTGTGAGGCACTTCAGTGGCTAACTAGGGTGTGAGGCTCGAACACACCTGAGGTAGCAATGTCAATATTGTGTGGACTTTGGTCCCTTAGATATGCATGTATAGTTAAAAATATCCATTACAACATATATCCTTAAAGCTTGGCTTGATGGCTATGTCAGACCGAGCTCATGCTTTAGTTGAGCGGGAATTGTACCAATGCTATGTGACACCAGGTTTCCCCTCAATGATCTACCTGATGGCTATATGAGAATAAGGAGATCAATTAGTAGTTTAGTGGGAATTTCATTGATGATATGTGATATCGGGTTCCCTTAGTTAACTAGTGTCTGATAGCTATGTGAGACCGAATTCTAGTCAGTGAGGTATTCAGTTAAATCACAATAAAGTCAATGTTGCATTCAGATAATGCAAAAGAGTGTTAATGTCGCATATAGATAATGTGTAACATATATTGATTAGAGTTAGAGTTCTTTTAGTGGTGTACTCATGGCGAGGCTCGTAGTAGAGGATTAAAGGAAGCGTGAGACTACTACTTTAGTGATAGAACTGTTAAACCTTAAGTAGGTAGCACTTGATTAAGATCATGCATATACCTACTGCTTTGTACCATTTCTTTAGCATGATTATATTTATGAGACTCATAATATTGCTCTAGATTATCGATTATACTACTGGGCTTTGTAAGCTCAGCGCTCGGATATTTTTCGTTCGCAGGTCAATAGCTATAACTGTTCGTGGAGCACCGTTATAGTAAGACTTCCAGTATCTCCTTCATAGTAATGCTTTGTTTCTTTAGCGGGCATATGTATTAATAGAACCTTAGTTATGTATTTGAGTTGTAAACTGCAAGATGTACTATTTTGATTTAAACAATGTGTCATGGAGCTTCAGTTTATAAATTTTTTTATAATTGTTGTATATGTTTAATATGGTACCATCTAGTAAGTTTTTAAATGAAAATGAACAAGTTTTGAAAATCAAGTGTTGCCTCAGTAGTCCAATGTAGCACTTTAGGCCCAATCAATTTTAGGGTGTTACAAGGTAACTTCGAAAATCGATGAAGATATACAACTTTAGTACACTTACCTCTTCTATCCAAGTAAATTTTGAGTATAAAATTTCCTTTTGGGAGGGGATATTTGTAGTGCCCCAGATCCCGAGTTAGTATTTTCGAGTTAACCTGAGAGTGTTTTAGATAAACTCATTTGCCTTATAGGGAAGCTTGGTCTAAATAAGCATTGGTTTGGGCTTTGGTTAGGCCCAAAGTATGATTAAAAAAAGGTATTTTTATGTTGTGATCAAAGTTAGGAGGACTAATAGAGCAATTATACCACTTTAGTTTAAAGGTTGAATATCCATTAAGAGTTGATGATCTCATGTCTCAACCCCTCATATCTCGTTTTCACCATTATTTTATCTCCTCATTCTTCTCTCATTTCAATCCCCCTTTGTCTCCCTTAATATCTTAAAAAAGGTATAAACTTTGTTACATCTCAAACCTTACTCAACAATCTCAAGGTAAGAACTTTAATATTCTCATTCCAAGCTTTCAATGCAAAGTTTTGGTCATGGTAACCAAAGAAGGGTTTTAGTGGCGATTTAGGAACCCAAGTATAGCCAGCTCATTTTTTTTAGAAATTTAAGCCTTTAGAAAAGCCTTTAGAAACATTTTAAACATCTTCCTAAACTCTTAAACCCATTAGTAATTCACATAATTTATCTTTGTCTAGTGAGAGAAATGAGAGAAAACTCCAAGAACAAATGGAAGGAAAATTTGACCCTTGGTTGAGCTTTGAGCATCTCTAACAACTTAGTAGTTCATGTAACACACCTATAAGTCAACTCTACAACTTGTAAATCACTAGGTGTACTATTTTGGTTTTGCATAAGTTATGAATATGTAAGCACATTCATGGTAGATTTTAGTATACAATGTTTTTTAGCATGCTTATAGATCATAATAACATTTGAGAACCTCAGTAGGGCTTTTGAGTGAAATAAGGAGTCATTTTTATTCCCAAACAGGGTATTTCTGGGTTTGAGTATCAATATTAGATGTACAATACTGATATTGTTCATCATATGGTATAAAATAAGGTTTGGGCTAGATGTATCGATACTCGTTCATTGGGTATTGATACTTGTAAGAGGGGCATCGATACCGAGTTCGCTTAGCAGATTCCAGTAGCCATTGTTGTATCGGTACTCATAGGAGTATCGATACTCAAGGTTGAGTATCGATACACCTAGTAGGGGTATCGACACTGAGATATTTTTTCAAAATATCAAATCCATTTTTTGTATCGTACTTGGGATAGTATCAATACCCTAGTAAGGAAGTATTGATACTACATTTTCTTCTCAGATATAATAGCCATTTCAATATCGATAACAAAGGGTGGGTCTCGATACTCAAGAGTCATTACTGATACCAAAGAGCTCAATATCAGTACCAGCATATTGTTTTCGATAAAGAATCCAAATGCTTAAGGGGTTAAATTTTAGGGGGTCTAACAACACCTGAATGCCATGAAATAAAACTATAAGTGAGAAAATAATAAATGCAGTACAACTAGAAACAATAAAAGTTATGTTAACATAAAACTAGCCTTGTTTGATGCTTGGGAAACATCCAGGACACCCGAGTTACTTAGCAAATTTCAATCGTCTCATTTCAGAAGAGTTTGGATATATCCCAATCAGTGCTAAGACACTTTAGTAGCCAACTGAGCATAAATGTCTTAAGACTCGAGGGAGTAAGTTTGGAATTGAGCTCGTAAGCTCAGTGTTTGGAATGTATTTCCGTGTGCAAGTTTGTAGGAGATCGTTCGTGGAGTGTTATCGTCATTAGATATTCCAGATCGATCGAGCTTCAGAGTACATCTTGATTTATATTAGAGGGCATGTACTATTCGTAGATCCTTGTATTTCAATGTTATTATTTTAGATGTATTTGGGAGCTCCCCGTATTTTCTAAACTCTGATTACTACGTTTTTATTTTATATCATTATGTATGGTTTTTATATGATGTTTTACAAATGATTTTAAAGAAACTTTTTGGGTTAGCCAATTCGTTGATCCCGTGTGACACTTTAATCCTCCAATCTTCAAGTCAAACTGGTTAGGGTGTTATAGAGAGTTTTTTTAAAAGCATTTTTTTCAAGAAGTTTTGTTATATCAAAAGGGAGAGAGATTGTTGAGTTAGAATTCTAAGATTTTTATATAATAAATTACTAATTATTTTTAAAAATTTGTCAAAAATAATTCAAAGTTCACAAAACTTGAAGTATTTTTAAAAACTCCAAATAAGTCGAAGTTTTCAAAATTTAGAGTAGAGTTTTCGAAACATCTTGGTAGTGTATCTAAGTTTCAAAAAATTATACTTAGTTTAGAAACCCTTCAGCATGGTTTCTAAATCCCATACTCATATTTTTATGAGGGTTTCAAAATCGTCTCTTATGATTTCGAAATCACTTTGTAGATAAGCAATAATCACGAAAAATAAAAGCTTCCAATGACTATAACTCATTCTCAACGATCATAAACAGTTAGAAACTCATTCTACACTGTAAGAACAACTCAATGACATTTGAAGAAGGTTACAACACCTTCCAAACTTAAAGATCAAGAGAAAATAATCTTCAATCTTTATTCCTTCAATTTTTATTATACATAGTTTATAGAGCTTTATTGAATATATTTTGTATTCATATTTATTAGCTTCATCTTTATAAACACCCACCTAGGGAATTATCTATTGTTTACACAAATCAAACATTATAAAATCGAGTGTTTTTAGTTTAGCCTTAAAAAATTAGAATTGTTTTATTTTAGCTATTGTAAAATATAGAGTTTTAAACATTATTCTTAAAAGGTTCAATTCAAACAGGTGAATTGAGAAATTTTTAGTGGTGGAAAGCTAAGATACTAGATGTAGATTTTAGTTGAGAAAGTCGAACCACTCTAAATCGATTATGTCAGAAGTTTTAAATTTTGTTTAAGATTCAATCAAACTTTATAAAAATCAATTCATATCCTCTTGACGATTTTTAATAGATACTAGAATATATTGAAACTTCCATATTATAGAATTTTTCATATTTAAAATATTAGCCTAACATTGCCTTCCAATTAAAAAATAATCTAACTTTTACCATCATATCAGCCACTTTCTAAAAATATATTCTTAATTATTAGTTCTTATTATTGTTCTAAAAATGAAGCAAATTAGGAGGTTGTAATGACCCAAAGGCAAATCAGCCTTTTGTAGTCGCTTCTTTTTTCATGGTAATAAAGGGCCCCTTGTTCGTGAAATATGTCCGAAATTTCTACGTAAGGTAAAACCTTCACCGAAGAAATGAATCATAAAACACAAAATTAAATCCATCAGATAGAAAAACAAGTGAAAGAAAAAAAGAAAAAGAAAAAGAAAAGAAAAGAAAGATAATCCAAACATGCCCTTATCCTCCTACCTTGGCAGCAACCGCCGTGGCGGAGGATGGACACCGGCAATGCTTCCGTCTTCACCGTCACCCACCGTCAAATCAACCCCCAAAGCCCATCAGACTCGGAAGCTACGGAAACGGACGGCTCTGATCAACTTCCTCTTCACCAACTTCTTCACCATAGCACTTTCCGTTTCGTTCCTCTTCTTCCTTCTTACCCTTTTTCTCTTCGGAATCCCCAAACCCATTTCCTCACACTTCAAGCCCCGATCCCTGACCAGAAGGCTCTCGACACGGAGGTCTGCAACCCGGAAAAAACCCGGGTCGAACCAGAATGGTTCCGTTGTTGATATAACAACTAAGCAATTGTATGATAAAATTGAGTTTTTGGACGAGCGTGGAGGGGCTTGGACACAAGGGTGGAAAGTTTCTTACAAAGGAGATGAATGGGATAATGAAAAGCTGAAGGTTTTCGTGGTTCCACATTCTCATAACGATCCGGGGTGGAAGTTCACCGTGGAAGAGTATTACGAGAGGCAATCAAGGCATATACTTGATACCATTGTAGAAGCTTTATCAAAGGTGATTTTTTCTTCGTTTTCTCGGTTCTTGGCAGGTTAATTCTTGATGGGTTTTTGTCAATATGGGGTGAAATTGTTTAATAAAGTTGGGATTTACATTCGAATTTCGTTTGTGAGCTTGTTGGTTTTGTTTCTGATAGTTTAAGAATTTGATTGTTTTTCTTTATTAGTTGATATTTGGTGCTGAATATAGTTTAAATCTTGATCGGGATTTGGTTTCTGAGCTTGGTTAGTACTTTGTTGATCAATGGTGCTGAAATCGGGTTTTCGGAATTAAATCGTATGGATCGAAGGTTATTTTGCGCACTTGGACTTAATGTAAACTTATATTGGCAGCCTGTTAAATTTTCAAAAGGTTGAGTTGAATTTACAGGATACTCGGCGGAAGTTCATATGGGAAGAGATGTCGTATTTGGAAAGGTGGTGGAGAGATGCCTCAGATGATAAAAGGGAGTCTTTTACAAACTTGGTGAAGAATGGCCAGTTGGAAATAGTAGGGGGTGGCTGGGTGATGAATGATGAGGTGGGGGCTTAGAACTTTGTTTTCTTTTTGGTCAGTTTAGCAAAGTGTTTCAAATTAGACTCCGAAATAGCTATTTATGATTACGAGGTTTTGATTTTGTCTAAACAAATTCTATTTTCTTAATGCAGGCAAATTCACATTACTTTGCCATAATTGAGCAGGTACACGTTGAACCCTCATCTTGGTGATTATAGTTGGCTTAATGACTGTATTTTCAGAACGATTCGGTATGTTGACAGATTGTATTTCTTGCACATTGCCATTAATTTTGAGCCGTGATGTCATGTGAAAAAAATATCAACTTGTCTTATGATTTTGGATTCTCACTCGAAAAGGTGCTAGACTTGTTGGAGTATACATCCTCGCAAGCCAGGATTTACTCTTGCACTTGTGAGATCTAATACGCATATCTTACGACTTTCTCTATTGTTTCATTGTCTTTTCATTTACATCAATGGTCATTAAGTTTTCTATTTATCGTAGCTACTATCCTCAAAAACTCTTTAATGCCTTGTGTTTGCAATTTGTTTTTTTTTTTTTAAATATTTGTATAAGCAGGTAACTGAGGGAAATATGTGGCTGAATGACACTATTGGGTTTATTCCAAAAAATTCTTGGGCAATAGATCCATTTGGTTACTCTCCTACAATGGCTTATCTCCTCCGTCGAATGGGCTTTGAGAATATGCTTATTCAAAGAACCCATTACGAGCTGAAGAAGGAACTTGCTTGGAATAAAAATTTGGAATACATATGGCGTCAAAGCTGGGATGCTGATGAAACTACTGACATATTTGTGCATATGATGCCATTTTATTCATATGATGTTCCACATACTTGTGGACCAGAGCCTGCCGTTTGTTGTCAGTTTGATTTTGCCCGTATTAATGGTTTCTTTTATGAACGCTGCCCATGGGGACACCCTCCTATAGAGACTGACCAGGAAAATGTGCAGGAGAGGGCACTAAAACTACTAGATCAGTATAGGAAGAAGTCGACCCTTTACCGGACGAATACACTTCTCGTACCTCTTGGAGATGATTTCCGTTATGTCAGCATTGATGAAGCCGAGGTTCAGTTCAGAAATTATCAAATGATATTTGATTACATCAACTCTAATCCCAGTTTAAATGTAGAAGCAAGATTTGGTACTTTGGATGACTATTTCCAGACCCTTAGAGATGAGGCTGACAGAATAAATTATTCCATTCCTAGAGAAATTGGCTCCAGCGAGGTTGTGGGTTTTCCTTCTTTATCGGGTGACTTCTTTACTTATGCTGATAGGCAGCAGGATTATTGGAGTGGCTATTATGTATCAAGGCCTTTCTTCAAAGCTGTTGATCGGGTATTAGAGCAAACGCTCCGTGCATCGGAAATTTTGATGGCATTTTTATTTGGTTATTGCCAGAGAATACAATGCGAAAAACTACCAATGGGGTACGCATACAAGTTTGCAGCTGCAAGGAGGAATTTAGCTCTTTTCCAGCATCATGATGGGGTGACCGGAACTGCCAAGAATCATGTTGTTCTTGATTATGGAATTCGGATGCACACTTCCTTACAGGACCTGCAGATTTTCATGTCTAAAGCAATTGAAGTATTGCTTGGAATTCGCCAAGATAAGTCAGATCAGACCCCTGCCCAATTTGTTCCCGAACAGATGAGATCTAAATACGATGCTCTGCCTGTGCATAGAACAGTCAGTGCTCGGGAAGGAACCATACAATCAGTTGTACTCTTTAATCCTCTGGAGCAGACAAAAGAAGAGGTTGTGATGTTAGTTGTTAATAGACCGGAAGTTACCGTTTTGGACTCAAACTTGACATGTGTTCAAAGCCAGGTTTCTCCCGAGCTGCAGCATGACAAAGGCAAGATTTTTACAGGCAGGCATCGTGTCCACTGGAAAGCTTCTGTTCCTGCCATGGGTTTGCAGACATATTATATTGCCAATGGCTTTGTTGGATGTGAAAAAGCTAAACCAGCAAAACTCAAGCTCTTCTCGAACTTGAGTTCAATACAGTGCCCTACACCATATACTTGTTCGGAAGTAGAAGGAGATGTGGTCGAAATTAAGAATCTGCATCAAACTCTCACCTTTGATGTCAACCGTGGTTTGTTGCAAAAGGTAATCCAAAAAAGTGGTCCCCAAAATGCGGTGGCTGAAGAGATAAGCTTTTACTCGAGTACTGGAAGTGCATACTTATTTGTACCCGAAGGTGAAGCTGTGCCTATAATTCAGTCTGGTGGGCATCTGGTCATCTCTGAGGGTCCCTTGATGCAGGAGGTGTATTCTTACCCAAAGACTGAACGGGAGAAAACTCCGATCTCCCATAGTACTCGTATTTATAATGGAGGCAATACGATACAAGAGTTTCTTGTTGAGAAGGAATATCATGTTGAGCTTCTTGGCAAGGATTTTACGGACAAAGAGTTAATTGTTCGATATAAGACGGATATCAATAACAAAAGAATTTTCTACTCCGACTTGAATGGCTTTCAGATGAGTCGAAGAGAAACATATGATAAGATCCCTTTGCAGGGGAATTACTACCCGATGCCCTCTCTCGCTTTCATGCAAGGGTCAAATGGCCAGCGGTTTTCTGTCCATTCTCGGCAGTCACTTGGTGCTGCAAGCCTTAAACAGGGTTGGCTAGAGATTATGCTTGATCGTCGTTTGGCAAAAGATGATGGGCGTGGACTTGGGCAAGGAGTGCTGGACAATCGTGTTATGAATGTTATTTTCCATCTCCTGATTGAAACCAACATTTCTTCAACTCTAAATCCCGTCTCCTACCCGCAACCTTTGAGTCCATCTCTTCTCTCACATTGCGTTAGTGCTCAATTGAATCATCCCTTGCATGCATTCATTGCCAAGAAGCCACAAGACATTTCTGTGCGTACAAACTGGAGACCCTTTTCTCCATTAACCGCTCCCTTACCTTGTGACTTGCATATTGTGAGTTTCAAAGTCCCTCGACCGGAAAAATCTTCTCAACAGCAGCTTGGAGATCCCAGGTTCGTTTTAATGGTGCATAGACGAAACTGGGATCCTTCATACTGCCAGAATGCTAGATCTCAGTGCACCAGCATGGCCGATGAACCTGTAAATCTATTCAACATGTTCAATGGTCTTGAAGTGCTGAAAGCTAAACCAACTTCCTTAAATCTTCTACACGACGACACTGAGATGCTAGGTTATGCAGAGCAGTTTGGTGACGTCGCCCACGAAGGTCGTGTAATTGTTCCTCCCATGGAAATACAAACATACAAGTTAGAATTGAGAGCGTTCCAGCAAACGCCGTTGGCTGATTTAAACCGTATGCTGCTATCTCATGTGAGATCCGACAAAGTCGAGAACATCAAAGATGTCTCGTGAAGTAAATACGTGTCCAACGTATGTAACTTAGGAGCGAGAGATGTACAATTAGTATATTCTAAGTTTGACACCGAGAAATCTATGTTACTATATTCTTCTTAGAAACTGGGATTTGTGGTCTATGATTTGACCATAATCAACTTCAAATTTTGCTTGTATTATCCTCTGTTATGAAGATTGTTTCTCATAGAGTGAGATTTTTGCTCCAAATACATATAAAAGTTGCAGAGAAAGGGTTTTTCTTTTTGAAGATGAAGATAGTATTTGTTGTGTTGAGAATATTTTTTTAAATCATAGATAACGCGTATAGACACCCGTAGATGCAACTGCTTGGATCAAGGATCTCTAGGAAGATCAAAACTTCTAGGAAGATCAAAACTTTCTTTAAACGCTGAGGCCACTTGATAGATTCTTTAAGTTTGTCATTTTGAGAGATACTAAGACTTGCTGTTGATTAATTATGTGTATATTTCCATTCAAATTATGTAATAAAAATGTAAGTTTTACTGTAGGTTCTTATGTATCGGTCCCAGTTCCTGTTATGTAACATACTTCAGTTGATGTGCATGCTGGGACAAACGATCGTGAGAGATTTTCGAGGCACGTCCCATATTGGGTATGGCAATTTGTGTTGTATCAAATATTTGATACGTCTTCAACATACATACTGTAGTACATTTTGGGCATATCTCATGTTTAAGGAGTACAACTAATTTTATAGGAGAGATTTTCAGGGATGTATCGGGGATAATATTTTATCTTTATGCATGTGTTTAAGATTATTTTTAAGATTTAAATAATAAAAATTATAGATGAATTAGGATATAATTTTATTTTCTAATTAGGATTTAAATTTTATTACAAAGAGTTATCCTTAGGATCCGAAAAATTAGTAGACCAGTTTTGATGTTGAAGCTGTTAAGGAGGAATTGGGTGGTTGATCTGAAACACATACCTAGAGAGGCCAATGACATTGCTGATCTCGTCGCTAAACAGATGTAGAATTGTCAGGAAGAATCTGTATTTCTACAAAATCCCCCAAAGGAAGCAGATGATTTGTTATTAGTTGATATAACGGGCAGCTAGGCTGCCCTCGTACACCTGTACTAAAAAAAAAACTCCATTGCTTCAATCTTTAACTTTCAAAGTGTTTGGACAAACTTATTTTATTCTCTTGTCGTGAAAGAAATTAGAGTATTTATTCTTTTGCTCACTCACTTACGAGGAATAAGTTAAATCTATGTCGTACTAAAGATTTGATTTATCTCTTCATTTCTTCTAAAATTTTAGAATTTATTTTATATTTATTATATCATTTTTGCACCTATATTATATAATTCTAGGAATTGACGTTTCTTGTCTCCGCATCTGTTTTTGTATTTATTTCTGTACCCGTATCTGTTTTCGTATCTGTTCTCGTACCTGTATTAATGTAACTTAGGTTGCCGGCAGATAGAAAAATCGTTGGATGTAACTATGTTAGTAGCTTTTTAAAAGATAGAGAAATGCAAATGGTACAGTAAATCGCTATAAAATGTAGTTCGTGCCTTAGTGGCCAAGGGTTACTCCCAAGTTATGAGACACATTACCTAAGTTATCCAACGTCTCCATGATAGTTCTCCTTAAAAGATCTTGAAGTGTTGGACTATTCTTCATGTATTGAAGCTGTACCCGTTATGTTTTACAATAAATTATATGAATTAAAAAAAAATCACAATCGTGATACCCACAAAGATTATAATAATATTTATTATGTATGCAATCATAGTACATTCTTAATCGTAACCATGGTCATATATTCTAAAACATAGGCCTGTAAACGAACCGAATGCACAAGAACGGAGGTATGTTAATGTTCGTTCATTTAATAAATAAACGAACATAAACGAACAATTTTTTTTGTTCATGTTCGTTTATTAAGGAATATAGCTTGTTCATGTTCGTTCATGTAAATGATAAACGAACATAAACGAACACAAACGAACGAACATAATAAATGAACATAAACGAACACAATAAACGAACATAAACGAACAACACAAACAAAAAAAAAAAACTTATTCGTACACAATAAATGAATGTAAAAAAAAGTAAACAACAAGAATAACAACTTAAAATCTATTAATATAAATATAACCTGTAACTTTAGAGTTAATTTGTTTGAATACGACAAAAACATACATAAATCATAAATAAGTTATATGAACATAATAAAGTCTTAAAGTTAATTTGTTCAACAAAATAATATTATTGAAATCCAAAAAACTTCAATAATCTTCGTAACATATTCAACTTGCCCTATGTTCGAATATAAATGAACATAAATGAAGTAACATAAATAAATTAACATAAACGAACATATAATTGAACGTTCACAAACGTAAATGAACGAACGAGCCCTTTGTTCGTGTTCATTCATTTAACCAACGAACGCAAAATCTTGTTCATATTCGTTCATTTAATAAATAAACGAATTTCTCGCCGCACGATTCATGAACGGTTCGTTGAACGTTCAGTTCATTTACATGCCTACTGAACACGTCAATTTAGACATCCATTTTGTTTGAGAAAGAGTAAGTTAATTATGTATCAACAAGCTGTAAAGTTACAAACATTTTCAGTAAACCATTGTCACTGTAACAGTTTGCAACTTTTAGATTCAGTATCTCAAAATAGTTTCTTTTTCAGTTATTGAGAACAAAAAACATATAGAGTTGAGACCCTTAAAGTCCGAGTCTAGTTGGCCTCCGATTGTAAATGAATTATTAACATAATTTATTAGATTAGTTAGCCCAGTAACCGAATCTATTAGAGATGAGAGTTGGAATTTTTATGGGAGTATGACTAAAATAATCATGCGTTGGAATTTTTAACCTATGTTTTGGTAAAACATAATAACCATGAAAGAAATAAATGAATATTTTTCTATCTTATTTAGATATTTAAAGTTTGTTAACGATAACGAGCAAATCAATAAGAAATATTTACAACAATCAGTTGATCTAGTGAGATGAGATATTAGGTCCCTTAAGTAAGGTCAGGGGTTCAAATACTAAGTTTGCGAATGAAGTAAATTGGATTGGGAGGGTCGCCCTCTCCTCTGTAGTACTTGATATGGATTAGTCGATCAATAGATCAGATACCAGTGATTAATTAAAAAACAATAAGAAATAAAGACACGAACACTAGTTTTACGTAAAAAAATCTTAGCGTTTGGTTGGATGGAATCCCTTGGAATTGGGGAGAATTGTAATATAATTCCACCACTTTCCCATGTTTGGTTTAAGTTTTCCAAGGGAATTAGAATCCCTCATGGCTTCAACTTTCCATCAAATGAGGGAAAGTGAATTACATACTACCCTCGTCAATCTTTTGGTAATTTATTCATATATTGAATAAAAATATTTTTTTATTATTTCAAGACGGGTCGGGTTTCTAATTCATATATTCGGGTCGGATCGGGTGAAACTTTATTTTGGTCGGGTCGGGTCGTTTTTTTAAGTGTGATATTCGGGTCGAGTTCGGGTTTAGGGTGAACAATACCCGACCCGAAAATATATATAATTTTACCTTATATATTTAGAAATAATTACAATAATATCCCTCTATATATATATATTTTTTTCAATTAAGTCACTGTTTTTATTGAATAAAAATAATTTATTATTATTTCGGGTTTGGTCGTGTTGGGTCGGATTTCTAATTCATATATTCGGGTCGGGTCGGGTGAAACTTTATTTTGTTTGGGTCGGGTTTTTTAAGTGTGATATTCGGGTTGAGTCGGGTCGGGTTTTTTTAAGTGTGATATTCAGGTCGGGTCGGGTTTTTTTAAGTGTGATATTCGGGTTCGGGCTTAGGGTGAACAAAATCGGACTGACCTGAAAAAAATATATAATTTTACCTTATATATTTAGGAATAATTACAGTAATACCCCTCTATATATAATTTTTTTACAATTAAGTCAATGTTTTTATTGAATAAAAATAATTTTTTTATTATTTTGTGTCGTGTCGTGTCGGGTTTCTAATTCATATATTGAATAAAAATAGTTTTTGGTAACTAATTAATATACTCCGATTGGAATGTATCGAAATATTGTTCTATCTTTTGGTAACTTATTAAAATATTTTGATTGCAATGATTTTAACTTATGATATTTATTAGCATGATTTTTATAATTTATTGAAATGAATAATCAAACAATAAAATGAAAATTTAATATTTTTTAATTTTTTATAATATATTATTACATGTAAGTTGTAAAACAAATTAAAATAAAGCAAAAAAAAAAGAAGGGTAATTCGATCATTTTACATTACTGAAATCAAATTCATCTGACATGTCTGCGAACCAAACAAAATATGGAATTAGATTCCAATTTCATTTCCTGCCAACCAAACAGAATATGGAATTAGATTTCAATTCCTGACAGATTTCAATTCCTTCACAGATTCCAATTCTCTCATAAACATTCCAGCGAACCAATCTCCAAGAGAGAAAAATTACTAATAGAGGAGAGAATTTTACTATAGAGAATGAAAAATTAAAAAATAATTATATAAGAATAAATAAAATTCTAGAACCATATATATATATAATTGTCCATACATAATGATTGTAACACTCTTACCTCAATCCGTTTTAATCTAATCTAAATAATCTAAGGTGGCGTTTGGTTCGTTGGAATGTTTCTGAGGGAATTGGATATCTCATAAACATTCCAGCGAACCAATCCCCAAGAGAGAAAAATTACTAATAGAGGAGAGAATTTTACTATAGAGAATGAAAAATTAAAAAATAATTATATAAGAATAAATAAAATTCTAGAACCATATATATATATATATATATATATATATATATATATATATAATTGTCCATACATAATGATTGTAACACTCTTACCTCAATCCGTTTTAATCTAATCTAAATAATCTAAGGTGGCGTTTGGTTCGTTGGAATGTTTCTGAGGGAATTGGAATCTGAAGGAATTGGAATTTGAATCTGAAACCTATTTGGTTGGCAGGAAATTGAATTGGAATCCAATTTCATATTCTGTTTGGTTCGCAGACATGTCAGATGAATTTGATTTCAGTAATGTAAAATGATAGAATTGTCCTTCTTATTTTTTTGCTTAATTTTAGTTTGTTTTATAACTTACATGTAGCAATATATTATAAAAATTTAAAAAATATTAAAT